CATTCAGTCGAGCAGAACATAGACGGTTGTTGAATAGTATCCAATGGAGAAGTACACTTTCTGTCCGGGAACTTTATGCTGTTCATGAGCTAACCGCTAAATCTGAAGACAGTTGTGAGACAAATTCACCGCACTTACCAGGTAAGTCCAGATTGATAACCACACTCGTATCCTGTATACTTGTTTCAAAAACACAACATACATCCACGGCTCGAGACCCTGGGGTTATGGTCGGTGATGTTCGTCATCTGACTTGGCACAGGGTTCAGACGTTGAAAGCTCCAATGTAGAATCGGTAGAGGGACTCCAGGAGACTAGGAATGTTGTTTCGCCGGCTCAGTTCGTTTACCGAGTGAGAGGTTGAGGAAGATGTAAGAGGTTTATTGGTGGTACCAGAAAGTGAAATCAATGGAGAAGGAGGGTCGGTTATTGTCAGTTGGGTTTTGTGTACTAAAGGAAGCGTGCAGGCTGTTTACACTTTTGGATGTCCACAAAGTGTAAGGCTAGTTTCCAATAAGGTACCTACATAAAAAAAGGGATGAGTGCGTGACCGCAAAGTACAAAGGACATATGCTTGAGGCCACTTACATACTGCCTTTTTAGAAGCTTGAGGTTTCAGTCTGCTTTTTGTGAATCTGACTAATAAGCCATTTCAGCAGCACCGATAGGAGGCCGGTCAATCACGAATGTGCCCTTTTTAAGGCCGACCTGTTCCAACCGTCCCCGCCCTCCCATAGAGAAGCTAGCAACAGCCGTAATGTTGTCACAGGCCTATTCAGTCAGTAGTAAAGTCTTATTCAAGGACATTTAAAAAAGCATAATCATTCAAAGCATTACGATAAATGCTTTTCGTTCCACCAATACACCACAGATCTTTGTGGTATCGTAGGACCTCGAGGAAACAGGCGTACTACCTACCAACAAAGTTCATTCGGTCACCTAAAGTTCAAGCTCCAATATCACCTCAAGGTAACAAATATTGGTTGAGATCGTTAAGACGAATAGTCAAAGACTTCAGAGACGGAACCCATCTCTTGGTTTGATCACCTTTTTCAGTGTGAACCTACTTCAACTAACATTGTGCATCGAGGTAGACGGTAATCAGGCATGAGCAAAAAAGGCCTCAGTCACCTGAAAGTCCACCACCTCATCAACTTAATTCGCCATCCTCCCCAAAACTCTACACTTGACTTCCACTTTACTGACGGCATGACACCCCTATTCATGGCCTTTGCTACGAAAACAGTAGTTGAACACATAAAGCCTTCTAATTTCCTCCAACTTTATTGATCACTTTTCAGTCATACAGTACAAAAGAGTGAACTTCTGCGCAGTATATTCGGCCTGTAAAGGGAGGGTTGATGAATGGTGATACATGTTCGAAAAAGACAAGGGAGCATTTTACATAAACAGTCACTAGCTGAATTTAAAGTTATTGAGGTGTACCTTACCTAATAATCTTCGTCTTTCTCTGAAGATCTAATGAAAGTGTTTGTACTTATTTCAGATATATGTAGCTTTACGAGTGACAGGAGAGCATACTGTATCCGTGCAGATTTTGTTGGTCACTGACCCTTCAGCGTTGATCCGACTACTCAAGTAAGTGAAGTGGTGAACATATTACTCTTTATAGCTAGATGAAACAGGAAGGAGCAATCTGCGTTTGCGTGATGAGAAAAACATTCTCAAACTGTCAGCTGAGCTGCGTCTTGTCAAAACCCTCACCTTAAACGACTACGTCATCTGCATACTCTGTATCTACTACTCAGTCTTCTATGATAAGGCCAATCCCCGAAAAGTAAGACGAGTAAAGGGACGCAACCAAAAGCACTTCTGTAACAAAATTAAATAATAATGCAGAGAGTGAACATAGAAGGCAGACACCACTTGGGATACACATTTGACTTGATATCACAAGGTAGACGACTCTAACACCCCGACATTTGTTCGAATACAAAGCCTTTAGTAGGATGCCTGTGAATGTACCTATATTTGCACATACCTGGAAGAAGGTAAATGTCTGGTCGATATATCTGCGAAATATGTGAGGAGGCAATAGCAAGATGTCAACGAAAACAACCAGTGACATCTAAGAGCATCAGGATAAGCTACAAAGCCATAAGTGGAGAACATCCTAAAACTCGCATCCGTCCGGAGTTTGTAGTGATGATGTTGTCTTGGATGAAAGTGAAAGCCTCATAATTAAACCATCATGTTCAGAGAAAAAAACACCTCCAAAATCATTCTCGTGACTAACAAATATTATTCATTATCTACTAACAGTGTGCTATTGTCACAGTTAGTCAATGAAGATCAAAATTGCAACTCGTAATACTGCGAAACAGTTCGGGTTGATATGCCTTATATCAGCACATAAAAGTAGAAGCCTCGTAAATGAAAGAAACAAGTAAGAAAATACTCATAAGTAGTAGAAAGTCATAAAAAGCGGGGGAAAGGGTTAAGTAGAACTGAAATGCATTCAGCAACCACGTGCACTTCCGTACAGTAGGCAATGATCTGGTTGAAAGTCAACTGTCTAAACCGATGAGCCCCAACTCCACGTAAAGAAGGTAAAATAACGAAATTCAGCATGACAATCAAGATGACGATAACTGTGGGTGTATCTGCACCATTAAGACCAATTCTCAGCCCTATCTCTTAGTCTCCACCAATTTCGGTTAACACGCAGACGCCAATCGGGAAGTTTATATCTACTTACATGACACAGAATAACAGTCGGAAACTGGTTTGGTATCACGACTTGATCTAGATACTCTAAGCCTTCTAATCCCATCCTAATTCAGCCAACATCGTACATCAAGATAGACGGTACCTTTGCATGCGCAACACACATGTACAAGCCACCTCAGTCAGTGAAAGTTCACAGCCTTATCGACTGACTTACCTTCCTTGCCTAGTACCCTCCACCGAACCTTGACACGGCCCACACAGTGATTACACCATACGTGAGCATTGCTGAAAAAATAATTATGGTCAAAAATCGGTAACCTCTCCGTACCATCTACTTTGACAGACCATGACTCATAACTGTATAATAGAAAAGAGCGAACTGCAGCGCAGCAAACTCGTTTTTAAACAGATAAGCGGGTATCGCACCGACACCAGAGATGGTGTGAGTTGGCAGTTGCCTACCGGAACTTGTGAATCCAAGCTGAAACTACGTCAGCAACCAACCCATTTCGGTTAATGCAACCTCCCAAGTACTCGACTATTTCATTCCTTATCGTTAAACTAAGAGCTGATGCAAAATAATCCTGGAGCACCCCCTTACGATTAAGCAGGTGAGAAGAGTACGAGAAACTAATGTAGAAGACTCCGTACTTTGTCAGCATCTTCAGACAACAGAACAATTTAGTCTGCGTACTCCACGTCAAGCAGATACCCCAAGCGGATTGGAACAACTGCTTTGAATTCAGAGGTACATAAAGTAATGTCCATTAGGACATTGATAAGGAGGTTGAACACAGACGCTCTTATCGCGCAATCCTGACAAATACCACTGGTTAGTATCATTTAAGATGATAACCTCTCACAAACACTTATACGGCTAGATGAATTCCAGTAGAGAGCTTTGACTAACATAACATATTGGCTTGGTACTCCCTTTACACTCAAATACTGTCACAATACCTTTCGTTTGACTCAGTAGAATGGCATAATCGCTCACGATGATTGTCTCATTTACCATTGTTTTTTCTTTGCCAATTTCTTCAGCTGCTTTCGCTCCTCATGAGTCTTCTCGCATTAATCAGTTTAGACGACATTGAGGAAGTACCCTAGGTACTGCATTCCTTTGATTCTGTGTTTTTGATTATCTTTGCTACCATTTCTGTTACAGACTTAACATTACGCCAGGCTTCGTCATCAAGAGAAATGCCACCATTTTCAGAAAAACGCTTACTTATCTCCTCCCTGAATATAAACTTCAAGTCCCAGAGGTTCACGTTTTATGTTTCCTGTCAAAAGTAGAGTGCAAAATACACAATTCCCGAATCCAAGCAGAGAACTCTAGGAAGAGTGGCAATCCTTCACTAATCCTTTCCAATAACGACTTATAGCAAAATAATCTATATGTCCATCGGCGGTCTGACGTCGTCCCATGCCACTTAAGATGTTTTTTCATATGCCTGAAGTTAGTGCCAGTGCAAAACAAGTGATTATCTGAGCAATATTTTAAGGGACATTCAGTGTTAGAGGTTTGTTGGCATGGGATACCGTAGATACTTTGAAGTTACCTACTTGAACACCGAAGGCGCCTGCTAATATGACTACATCTCAACGTTTTGCTATATTTAGCGAAATAGACAGCTTTTGATGGAATTCTTCTACTGCATCGTCTGGACTGCAGTCAGGAGTATCAGGATGAAGATTACGAATAGAATTGAATTGCACTTATCTCAGGAACACAACAAGCATCTATGGCTCGAGAACCCAAAGTTTTCGCAAGAGACGTCTGTTGTCCGATTAAACATACAGTTTGCACGTTGAAGGCTGTAGCGTGAAATTGGCAGTATTGATTGAGAAAAATATAAATGATGTTTTGCTGGCTTAACATCCCACACAGCCAACAGTACGACTTTATCTCCAAACCTACGCTGCAGCGTCATCTATTTACATATGATGGTGACTGCTTTCAGTTGTTTTTGTCCAGCAGATCTTCCTGTCACTACGTGACCCCAAGAACAATTTTTTCAGTCAGAATAGTTGGTTGGTTCCTTGTGATACGCGAGTACGGTCAACACATTTAGGTAGCAGCTATGACTTTATCACTTAACAACCTTGACATCAACTGAATATTCTAATTAACTAGCTGGTTAGTAGATGAGTCACTGACATTACTTGGTGGAAAACACTTCGTTATCTTACCACAGTTTTCACAAATTCATCATTTGCATTTTCTCGTACATACTGACGTGATACTTCCTAGTTTGGAGGAGTAACGTTAGCTATTAAACTATATATACATTGGAACAACGTACCTGCAGAATAGGATTATTAGTCCAAAGTTCAGCCATAATGCAACCAGCACCCCACATATCTACTGGTCGTCCATAATAACGATCATTCAGTAGAATCTCAGGCGGTCGATACCATAATGTTACTACACGACCAGTATACCGTGAAGCACGGTCAGGTCTAATCGATGCAACAGTAAGTCGTGCTAATCCAAAATCTGCTATTTTCAGAACACCTTCGCGATCAATCAAGATATTAGACGTCTTCAAATCCCGATGTAGAACATTGTTTCTGAAAATTGTGTATAATAAAGTTTATCGATCAGCAAACAAGATGGACTATTGTGTTTGATTACCTCACACCTGATAGTAAGCTAACAGAAAAAGTGTATAGCAATGCCAAACAAAGAAAGAAAAGCCAGTGAGCGGATAGAAGAAAGTCTCTATAGTTTAAGGTAGACAAAATGTTTACTGCATAAAATCTGTTGTAAAATGGTTTGTCTAGTTGAATTGGTAGTAAGTACGCAGCAACATTTGTAACTTCAATCGTAAACGCTTGGGCATGTAGATTAAAATAAGTTATAACTATTTGAATTAGAAACACAAAAGAGGTTCACAACTAAAATAAGTGTATTACCAAGGATTAACTTCGCAAACTGTTCTTACTAGTAGACAGTCGACATAACATACATTACAAATAAACCGGTTGCAAACGTCATGAGTCACAAGAAAGGTGCACACACTTACAAGATTTGCAACAAAAATGTCTCTAATCGTAATTATTTTACGCGAAACTAGAAACTGTATCTTGTGTAATGATCCCGCAAAATTGACAAAGACATTCGAAGTGTGGGAGACACAAAATACGAAGTAATTAATAGGCGATTCTATGAGTTTTCATACAACGAATCAAGAATGTCAAGTTTAATTAACCCCTGAAATTTACCCATCACACACTTCAATTGGGGGAAGTTTGCAAAAACATATATCGTCAAAAATGTGAATGCAGAAACAGTGTCTTGAAAACAAGACATAGAAAAGTATAACCGAGAAACAACACATCCATGAATGTGTGAAAGATAGCTGAGTTACACCTCAACATCTTCAAGAATAACTCCCTACAGCAGACAGCGAAAGAACTGTACTTACTCTTAAAGAATCATATAAAAAGTGCTGAACAATGAATAAACCCATTCGAAGAATACCCAAGAAGTACTAACTCAGTAAACTGCTGCAGCACTTAATATGCAAGTGAAAGCCTCCTCTGCGTAGGAAAGAATTAATTTATTTAAAGCACAAGCTTCATGCAACATGGCCACCACAAAACAGGCCACACTAATAATCTAACGACCTTAGGAAAAAGTAAAAGTGATATGGGGCTGAGAATGGCAAAACAGAAGGACAGAGGCAAAAATGAAAATAGTTTTGTCGGGAAAAAGCTTCAATTATAACTATGAAACGTTTCTGCATAGAAGGAAGAAATGTTCAAACATTTGATGAAATTAATTACAGAAATTCAGCAAAACAATTTCAATTTAACTGGTCTATGCGAAACAGTTTATGAGATTGCCAATACAACTGAAGGTGAGGAAATTCACAGACTTTGCAACTTTACATTCATGTTGATTTCTATGTTCTTTTGTGATTTTTTGATCTTCACTTAACCTGATCTTGTTACTAGGTTCAGTTAATTAATGCTTGTAACTATGCAATACAAAGTGGAACAAAACACATAAAATTGCTATTTTACAGTGATGGAGAATGAAGCCACTGAAGATATCGTTGCTGAACCTGTTTTCTTCAATGTCCTACTACTGAGCGTTTTCGATATATAACCCCAAATGCCCTGGTATGCGTTCACACACAGTCTCAGCCTTCATGTGGCGGTAGTGTTTCCAAAAAAGTGAAAGCGAATGTCCAGCGCTTGTCACCGGATCTGTGGATGTTGGGGATCCACCTAGGGGTCAGAAAACCCTGATTCCAAAACAATGGTGCACAAGGACTCCAGGTTCCAGATGGAACGAGTGGTGTGCGAACTCACTTTGATCACCGGCAACTATTGGAATGCAACTCGTGGCGTTGCCTCACTGCCTTGAGGGTTAGACTTCAAGTCGAAGGCTTGGGGAGTGGATCCCTAAGACAACCACCTGCTTCCGCCTGGGCACCCGGGCAGTATCCTGCTCTCACATGAAATACGAATTTACAGCAAAAAATGATTTTGAAGTAATTATCTGACTTTCCTGAAAATACTCAAGCCCTCCGCACTACTAACTCTATAACCGATCGTCCAATTAGTTGCTGCTATATTGTTTTTACATGTGAAGTGTACTTTTTACGACTACCATTTCCGCCTTTGTCTTTATCTTTAATCCACTCAGCTGCTCTCCACTGATTAGACTTCTGGTCTGTATGTCCCATTTGGAGTCGGTAAACGGTTGCCTCCACAAGCTGTCCTCCAGTGAGACATCTGATACAGCTATCCTGAAACCAAGCATACGGTTTAAGCTCGCCACCTTCAACGTTCGCAGCTTGATGCAGACAGGACAACAGGCAGGTTTGGCTAGGACTCTGCAAAGCCTCACTATTGGTGTATGCTGCATCTCAGAAACCTATATACGAGATCCCAGTGAAGTGCTTCGAACCAGTTCCCCATCTGTCAGCTCGAAAGCATACTTCATGTGCGTTTATCCTGGGCATTGGCAGCCCAGCCTCGCTAGTCTCGGTGTCGCATAAGCGCTCCAACCGAAGTCGCACTACTAGACTGGATACCCATCAACAGCCGCCTATGTGTCTTTAGGCTAGAAGATTCATATAGAGTAAGAAGTCACCAGCAGGAGAAACGATATCTCTCTGTTATCTCCGCTTACGGCCTGACGGGCTGCAGTACGGATGCAACTAAGGATGAATTCTACCATCAACTGAGTGACCTTTCTAACCAAAGCCCTTGACAGATATCGCAGTGCTAGCTGTGGACTTGAATGCGCAGATCAGGCGTCTAAGCTAAGAGGAGAGTTGCTTAGGTGACCAATAAGAACCGGTTTGGCCGCAGGTCGGATAATGGGGATCGTCTTCTGAAGCTTTGCCCAGATCACAACGTATTTCTAGACAGCATCAACTTCCGAAACAGTCATCACCGATGTGCCACTTGACGTTTTTCCTCTGCCACTCAAGCCCAGAACCAAATAGATCATATTGCAATCAGCTACCCATGGTGTGGGTGCATACAGGACTGCCGTTCAATATGGAGTACTTGTCTGGACTCTGATTATACTTTAGTGTGTGCTAAGCTTGTTTTGAGTTTTGGTGGTCATCAAAACCGTCTTCTTAAACGGGTCAATGCAACCAAACTAGTTGCACCTAGTATTGTAACTAAATACAAATCTGAGTTAGATTCATGGCTAGCTACCGACCCTCCAGAAAGTTTAGAGGAGCATTGGCTGTACTTGCAAAACGCCATGAAAGTGGCGAGTAAAGCCGTTTGCGGCTTGGAAGAACGTCTAACTAATAAACACTGGGTATCTGAGAAAGTATCTGCAACTTCTTGACGCCCATCAGACCATTCCGATGGACGGGGAGTACGATAGCTCGTGTAGGTCTGTTACGCAAACGATTACACAAGGGCTGTTAGGCTTGGTGGTCAGAAGGCATGAGAGAGATGGAAGCTGCATCAGGCAATAGTCAGAAACTGTTCCAGCTCTTTCGAGCCAACGGCAATAAGAAGCCAGGTGTCAGTGAGACGGTCTATGAGGTAGGTGGTAGGTCGATAAGCAATCTTCAAAGACACCTCGAACGTTGGAGGGAGCACTTCGAAAAGCAGGCCACTCAAATCGCACTTAGTCAGTTCGCGACTAGTGTCCATAAGTATGGTATGTGCTTTGCATCATTGGAGTCCAAAGTACTTTTACAAGATTGGAAGGAATCTGTGACTGAGCTCACCCATGATGCTGAGCCGTTGGAAGTAGTCGAAAAGTTCGTGTATCTGAATAGCTATGTGAGTGTTGGCGGAGGTATGAGTGTAAATGATGAAATTCCCAACCGCATATCGGAACCCAGAGTGGCGTACGTCAGTCCATGCCACCTTTGGCGCCGTCGCGATGTTAGTCTGACCGTAAAAGGTCGGGTTTAAAACGCTTCGGTACGAGCAGTTCTGCTCTACGCGTGTTAAACCTGACCTCTCCGAGCTGGGAATGTGCGACGACTCTGTTTTCGATCATCGTTGTCTCTGTAGGATTGCTCGTATTGAGTAGCAACACCATGTAAGTAATTCTGAGATAAGACAGCATACGTTTGGCCATGATGAAGATTGTCATTCAATCAGAAAAGTCATCTGGAAACACTAATTTAGGTGGCCTAAACATGTGTTACGAACGTCGTCCCAACGACTTCCATACCGTTCATTGTTTGCTAGCCCTGGATCTGGATGAGAGAAGCGGAGAGGTGGTCACTGTAGGACGTGGCGCAGTGGCATGAGTATAGTTGTATCATGTTAGCTGCCTGGATGGAGTTCGAGTGACCACGCAACTCAGTGGTTTGAGAGGTTATCAGGTATGGCTCAAAATGGAAACCAGTGGCAGTCAGACTATAGCTTTCTTTTATCTTCTGCTGCTGAAAGGTTATATATATATATATATATATATATATATATATATATATATATATATATATATATATATATATATATATATATATATATATATATATATATATATATATATATATATATATATATAGTTTTGAATGCATCTTACTGGACTGCTTTTCTCATCATTATATTCCTACTGTTTTTCTTTTTATTCACTTCCTCTCGGTGTTTTCAGAATACTGTTATATCATTTTGTATACCGCATTTTTTGGTGCCTCCGCAGTACCATGTTTGCGTTCAATAATAATAGTAATAATAATAATAATAATCGCGATAATGGTAACAGATTTCAGCAAAATGATGGAACGATAATTACAAACATTTTGTTGTTTACAGGCTACCTCACATATTCTCCTCAACCAAAGCAAGTAATTTCGTGATGTGTATATTTTCCCCTTAAGAATTAACAAATAAGAAGTATCTATTGTACAAAAGTCCACACACTGTTACGTGAGATCGCATATGTTGGTCGTTACACGCACTCTGGTTACCGTCATATCCTTCTCACAAGTGCCGGAGGGCAATCTACCACAGATGTCGCGAAATCAAGCATCTCGTTGACAGTGACCATTCATAACATCTTTCAAAATTATGCATAAGACTAGCGGAAAAACTGTCAAGATAAAACTTACATCCTCACCTACTATTACTGTTACTATCCTTTAAACACAAACTTTGTAAAGTATGGATACCGAAAAACACGCCACAAAGTCATATAACAACACTATATGCTTAGAAGTGCAAAAAGGTGAGGGAAGAACAAAGGAGAGCGAACACCTTCTGTGAAAACTATCATCGCATTCGTGTTACTTTTCACAAATACAAGACAATAAAAATGCAACATTGTAGCCGTTACTTCCGACTCGTCTCAAATCAGTGAGTTGTATGATGGCTTGGATATCATCTAATCAGTTGTGGGGCAATAACAGACAGACAACACATCTTCCTCTTCTCCTAAGCCACTAAGTCACACACTGACCACCTCTCCTCTTCTTTCAACAAGTCCCACAGGAAACAAACACTAAACGGTATGAGAACCACTGAAATGGCATCTGCAAATAGTGACAAACTTTGTCATACGTCGCAAAAAAGCAGAATTACTTACATCGGGTTTTCACTGGTTGTCAGCAACCTTATGGACACAAACGTGGTCAAGCACGCAGATTCGCTGAGCATCCTCAGCTACGAGTGATCAAGCTTCACAGACGTGCAACAGAGTAGTGTAGACAAAGAAGCCTGGCAATCTTGTAAACGCACTCTGCATTTTGACAGTGAAGGCGTACACTATGCTTACAGACACTGATAGTCGACTGATTTAGTGCAGTTTTAGTAGCCTGTATGCCATCGCACACCGAAGTTATGTCATTCACATATTTAAAATGAGAAAGTTTATCTGCTGGTCGTGGATCTATACCACCACCATTTGGATCGCTCAGAGCTGTCCTGACAATGCCATCGATAGCAAAGTGAAAGAGGTAAGTGAAATCTGGACAGCCGCGCTAAACCATCACCGTTGGCTTGTTATAGTGAAGAGAAGTAGGCTTATCCCATGACCTACATGAGGTGGCTTGGATGAGCTACTCTCGACTATTGGCAGATTCAGTTTCTGCTCCCATCTTTCTTATGAGTTTTGACTATCGAACATAGCGGGCCTAATATAAAGTCTGCGGTTTCTATAACCCAAGAAACTTACACACACAGTTTTATTCTGTGTCCTAGAAAAAACTGAAGAGCACCAACGAGTTTCAAGTGGTCGGTATATCACCTATTACTTCTCAGTCAGCGGTTTACGACAGTCAAAAGTAGTTTTAATCGTCATTTTCATTGTAGGTGTTGCTAATACTTACATCCATATATCATTGTGCTTCGATAGATAGTCTTGAATTCCATTCAATTTGGTATTCTCATTTGACTATCTGAGATAACCGTAGTTTGGCAGACCAGTATTTACACTGGGTGATGATTGAAAGTGAAATGGAAATCTGGACCGCGGCTGGATTCCAACCAGACCCGGTCTCTGGTTGGAATCCGGCCGCGGTTCAGATTTTCATCTCACCTTCAATCATTACCCAGCATAAATTTAATATTTGGCTACTCCACTAGTTGCAACTAATTCGCTAGCGTCAACCTGTTCAGAAGGACGATTACCAAGACCAAGATGAACTAAGTACACACCGAAGTGTTATCAGTGTGTAAACAGGTGTTCTAGAATCATTGGCAGTCTTGAATACATTCACAACATCGTGCTGATAGCAATGTGATGTATCTGAGTCCGGGGTGTAGCGTTGGAAGATGAAACCAGGTAACAAAATAACAACGGTTATGATAAAAGTTGATGCTAGCTACGAATCGATTTTTATGTATATGCAGCCACAGGAGACTCAACTCATTATCCGAACTCCGGTCGATCAATCGCTTTAGCAACTCCAGTCGACCAATCCCCATTGGAGATTCAAACGACTCTTCTCTGAAGCTAGACAGCTAATGTGTGCATTTGAGATAGCACAACGATATCATAGTGCACTCAGTAGAGGAAATAGACGTCATTGTCTCATCAATTAATTTCGCATATAACAATCCCTTAAAGCCTAGTATTATACAAATAACTTTAGATTGGGATTCAGTCGACTAATACAATTTTTCATTTAGAACTTCGCGCGAGACAAACAGTAACATGACCGGCTGCTAATGCCAAAGTGTTTCCGAATAAACACAGTGATTACATTTCTTTATGTCACAGATGGAGATGTTATCCGAAGTACTTCACGGGATCGTGTATTCATGTCTTTGATACACGGCATACATTAGTGGTGAGGCATTCCAGTTACAGCCAAACCTATCTGTTGTCCGGTCTTCACCGAGGGCCAAAAATTAAAAGCAGCAAGCTTAAACGGTATGTGTAGTTTCAAATATCGCACCAATGACAGCTCTGTGGAAGCAACTGTTTAGCTACACAAAACGGTTAAGACGAACCATAAATTCAATAATATCAAGTAGCTGAATGAAACAAGGATAAACGTAAAAATGTATTTGAAAATGATAGCGGAAAACCAATACAGCTCACAAACAAATTCAAGTTAAAATGATCAGTAAAATGGTTGAGTGGAAAGTTAGTAATACAGTGAATTTGATTTTCAACAGGCTGATACGTAAAGTGTTTCGAATCTTTCTTTGTATATGATGCTTCATGGTGTGTATGCTGGCTGTGTTACACCCCCACCTACCCCGAACATTCAGACTAATCCAGAAGGTTATTTCAAGAGTCCATCCATAAAGACTTTGACTTGAAGTTTGGTCTATAGATAGCAGAGTAACTTTAAGTGCTGGATTCTTATTTTCGCAGGTAACCAAAGTAGGTTCCTACGACATCCTTTTATTCAGCACTCCATAGCTTATACGCATCATTAGTTTGGAGTCAAGGTTCACTGACTCTCCTGGATGAACCCACTGTATCCAATCCGGTGATAGGGACGAGATACTAACTTCCACTCCCTCACTTTTGTCAAAAGACTAGCTACTTGAAGGCAGTAAGCAGGACTATCCTGTCAGAGGTCATGAACGCACGAACGCATGAGAACTCTCGGAAATACCAGGGTGTTTGAGTGGAATAAAGACGGAATACGGTCCAAAACAGTGATTTGTGACACTAAGGAACACCTTAATATCGAACAATCCAGATTTCTAGCAGTGCAGTACGTATTAGCACTCTTTACAAAAGTCGTAAATGATTATGGTTCACAACTGAGTGCAACAACCTTATACGTGTCATAAAATATGTGACCTTTTTTGACCTGATGTTACTTCTAACAATAAGAAATCAGATAGAAAGGTGACGAAATCATCAGCTTGTGTGGTCGTGCTCGAAAGGATTATGATACAAAGAAATTTATGCATGGAGTAACATTCTTTAGAATAAACTAAAACGATTTCAATTTACTTGTGTAGAAAGTAAAGTCCCGTAAATAATTGTTGCATTATGCTTTTCTTCACTGTAAACTGAATTCATTTTCTGAGCTAACACACCAGCAAGATCATGTTCACAAATGTCAAACAGAAGATAAAATTCATATCTGTAGTTACTGGATGGGACAGCTAGTGAAGAAAATTAAACAGAAATAAATGTACAAATTACCTTTTCTATGACAAACACCTCTTAAACGCACAACATTTTCATGGGAAAGTGAACTTAAGATTCTAATTTCACGCAGTGCAGTAACTGGAAACTATGAACACTTTTTAAGGAGTGAACAGTTTACTTACGCCTTCTGTCTCTTGCTCTATTTTAAGGCGTTTTAAAGCATAAATTTGTTTCGTGACTCTGTGACGAACTCTGAATACTTCGCCAAATGTTCCTTGACCGATTTTCTGTAACCGTTCATAATCATCAACCACCATTGTTGTTGTCTTTTCTCCAACTCACGATCAACATACTTGAGGGCATCCGTGTAGTCAGCCTCTAACTCCTTGAGTAATAAATCTAATTCGCAGTCGTCCATAGAAACTTCAACCACATTTTATGCAAGAACTCGGCAAGCCTATTATGTTGATGGAATAATACGGCTGAAAATAAGTTAGATAACATATAATGATGAAAAAAGTAATTAGGAATTAAAAATTTCCAACATTAGAGTAACTGAAACCGGACTTAAAAATCGTTCAGATAAGCGAGTGGACGCTCGGAAATGACTTTGCACAAGGCTCCCCAATAGGCTTTATAGGAACCAACTAGACAGTGCACGAAACCATGAGTACTATGATCGTAAGAGCAGGGGATATTTTGAAAAGCATAGAAAACCGTATAGACAGCTACCGACTAAAATTTCTGAATAGAAATATCCATAGCATACGAATCGCTTGCCTACATGCAACGTTAGGCAATAGGTTGGCACACTAAAAGAAAGAATATTTGAAACAGTTAGTCCCTTTTATGAATTTTGACAGCGTAATTAGAAGACGAAGTTTATCTGAGCAATGTAATGTATTTGCGCAATACATTTCAAACAGTCTGATCACACATTTACTTGTCAAGTCAATATATATTAAACCGAGGACTGGGAGGGGGGATAAATACAACAATTAACACAATAGGGGATTAAAATTAAGAAAGATGAGGAAAAACAGGAAGTGACACAGTTGATCCTAATCTTAGTAAGAAAACAAAATTCACTAAGGTAGGTGTAGTGTAAGAACAAACTGTTTTTGTACGCATAAAGTTGGTTTAAATTTGTGCATGGCTATGGCTTCCGCAAATCTCAGAATACGTCCCTGACTGTTTCTATATAAAACTTTGAAAGCTGTTTGAACATTAACTTTGTGACCTCTGTTTCTATGATATGTTTAGCTATAGATGAAGAGGGTAGTCTCCCACCAGCGTTTATCACTGTTTCACACTCCATTTGTTTTTGAAGCCATTTGGGCATATGTTCTCCCACCCTCAACTGCATGACTCGATTACTCCTCCCTATGTATGTGTGACCACACACATGTAAATTGGTAAACACAATGGGATATGACGTAATCACTGATGCAGTGTCTAGGTTTTTGGTGTTTTGTTTTCTCCACAATGGTAAGGTTCGCCGCGTAATACGTTTTCTTAATCGCTGATGTCAGCCTACGTCTCAAAATGATACTACTTAGCTCGCCTCTGCATGGGAGAGTGATATGGACATTTTTCTTAAGGACCGTATTTAGAGTTGGCTTTGGTGCTACGTAACCTCTACAACGGTTTATAAACTTCGTCGGATATCCACTTTCTATAAGTGCTTTGGTCAGTAATTTGATGTATTCATTCATCGCATCTTGTGTGCTGATACGATAGATCCTGTTAAACAGGCATTTTACTAGACCTCGCTTGTATTGGATTGGACAAAAACTGTGGAAATTCAGATATTGTCCTGTCCATGTAGGCCTTCTGTAAACTGACCGTCTTATTGAACCATCTTCTCTTCGACTCAGGAGTATATCTAGGAATGGTAGTTGATTATTATTCTTTCTCACATGTCAGGCCGATGTGTGTTTGTACTGCGTTTTCTATTAAGTAGACAAACCATATCCTCATGCGTCTCTCAAGTCACTATGATGTCATCAACATATCTCTTGTAAAGAGGAACTTTAGCGATGGGATCACCAGCCAGATTTTCAATATATGACATAAATATCAGCTAGTAGTGGTCCTAAAGGACTACCCATAGCTACACCGTCAACTTGTAGAAAGCGTTCACCTTCAAATGTGAAGTGGACTTTGTCGATACACAGCAATAATAACTCCTTCAGAAAGGTTGGAGTAATAGGAAATGGGAGGTTTTTTGGGGATATATAATCACAGAGAATGCTAATAGTCTTGGACAATGGCACATTAGTGAATAAGGAATTTACATCGAAAAAGTACATCGGATTTATTCGAATCGAAATACGCTCAGCAGCCCCATGCATAGTCGTGCAGTAACCGATGAGCAAAACCTATTATGACAGCTAATGATATTACCTGACTGCCTAAACCATGGTACTTGGAAGGCGGTAAGAACCGGTGATCTAATTATAATGATTACACTATGCTGATTCATGTAACCAAACCGAATAACAGTGATAATGGCAGTGAGTAGTAAGATTGGTTTCTGGAAAACAGCAGTGTTCCCACACATAATTTATTCTGTCGATTGAGAGGTGTTGTAATAGTGTTTTATCGAAAGGAATACTGCCAGACACATCATCGTACTGAAGCAATGCAACTCAACCTAGTATAAATGTGTACAAGATAAAAAGCGACGCATAATGAGGAGTGGAGTAGATGAAGATGGATTTGAGTCTTAGTCTGTTTGAAAGTCGAGTATTGAGACCAATCAGCTACATACCCATGCATACTGACTCTTTATCCGTATACTTGTGCTGGTATCAGACACTACAGTAAATTACCTTGAGTTGGCGAAACCCAATGGTATCCATCAGAGATGTCTAATCTTTCCATTTTCATCCAACAACATACTTCTACAGGATATACTTTCGTTTTGAGATCATCGAACCGCGTCCTCAGCAACCTTTCGCACATTCGTGCAGTAGGCAATGAGTCACACCTATTGCGCGGGGGTTAGTCATACTACCTGGTTGCCCAAATCTCGGCAGGTGATATGGAGTTCGAACCCATGACCCAGTGGTTTAAACTCATCTCCCTAAACCAATGAGCCACAGCTTCACTTTGAGTTCATAAAAATCGATTTCCTTTATGATAGCATCCAAGTTAAGTAATATCAACATGCGACCAGATATGTAGCCAATATGGTCCTGATAAATGGCGAGTGTAATCGCCATGTTCAAGTACACAGAACTATATTAAGGATGTCTACGAACGTGGTCATATGAAAACATGTGGGTTAACAACTGACGAAGTATTGGCACAGAAGACATGATTGGTATTTGTCAGCTAATTATACTCCTACAACCGATGACATCCGCATGCCTGCTAAGAGCTACGCGAACTGAGTGAATGTGCACTGCACTACAATAAAGTTCTGAAACATGACAGTTAAAGAAAAAGGATTTACAAGGACTAATCACATCTGAAGAGTTGCCTTTGTAGTTTTCCTCATAAGTGGTAGAATCACCGCGCGAGTAGCTTACAGATTATATATGAATTATTAAGGAAGCGAGACGAATCAGTTCAGGTTACGTGGTGGCTAGGACATGTTGAACATGTCTGTTTATTGTCTAACATGAGGAACACTGATACCTAAAGAAAAAGTAGGGGTCACTAGACCAACACATGGCACCAATCCATGGAGTTCCTGACTTTTGGCCTGAACCACTTGGGTTCCAGTAAATAACTCGGATAGAGGCACAGAAACTGTAACACTTATGACTTAGAATCAATCTAAACCCTAAAACTTTTGGAAAATTGTAATTTCATTATCTTCGCTTCTTGCCTTGCAGGACTCATGACATTATTGTTTTTTCATCTAACTTTTCGCTATGCAGAATATATACAATAACATTTAGAGCCGTATCTTTTGCCTAAGTTAGAACGAAGTAGAAATAGAAAGAAATAGGTGTCATAAAAAATAACATTGTTTACTGAATAGACCACGTGATGGCTAAGATTCACACAGCACTGCCAACATTCTGGAAGTTATTAGTAGTATGTTCTCTTGGTACTCATGACAACATGGGGTTAACTAAATGTAGTAGTATTACAAACTTATTCATGAAGTTGTGGTATTTTTGTAGCAAAACCTCCAATGATAACAGAGAAAACGGTTCAACTATCACGCAAAATACTTAAGCTACACTTAAAGGCGTGTAAATGGAAACTGAGTGGATCGCATGCATAAGTACCAGTCACATTTCTTACATGCTTGTGCAACAGGAAAATAATATGCTCGGTCCTTGAACCGTCACTTTTCTTTCATTTACACATCTTCCATAACCTAGTGGCGGTAAATAACTTGAGTAGCGATAAAGTTGTTGAAAATGATCAATTCAAGAGCTTTTATCAATGAATCGTGTCCAGCAAACAGGTTGTTGAAGTGTGTGGTCAGGCAGCGAAGGTTCTCCAAAGGCTTTCCAACTGAATAGACCACAAAGATATTTAGTTGCCACCATATTCTACTTCGAATATACATACCATCTGAGGAACACCTACTTTCAAATATTAAGTACTTAATTTCAAACTCTCTGACGCATTTATTATCAGTGTGCTTGCAACACTGAAATTTTGTTTAGAGTGCACTAAGTATACTCGTAATACTAAAACACATAAAAATAAAACTGCTACGCGAAAAGTCCGATAAGACTCTATATATAAGCATTGTAAGCGATGCTGTAAAAACAAACTACCTATGACACATACTAATGAACAGATAGTCAAGAAGTGGTATCCAACCCAAACGATAGTTGCTACCTCGCCAAAGTGATCGAATTCGCACTTCACAATGAGTCAATGAGCCATGCTAGCGGTACACTTGTTTCTTGAGGTACTACATACCAGAAACGAATGCAAAACAAAAAGCAGTTACCGCGGTAGCGTAAAATGCCATGCTATGATGAGGGTTGGCCAAGCACCACTATTTCTTTGTCAGCTATCTCAAAAAGTAACCTTCGGCGATATGGGGGTGCTGGGAAGTATCAACCGTGCTCACAACTCTCTTAGCACTCAGTTTTCTCAGAACATTATCAACCATCCATATCTTTGTCTTCTGATCTTTCTTCACACCTGTCAGTCAATATTCCTACGTCACCTTTTAGCCCTGTAGCCCCTTCTAGAGATTTGAATTCACGGAAGAGCAATCCTGGTTTCCTAAAGCTGCGCTTTAAACTATATATCCACGCTTTCAATTTAGGCAGCTTCGCTACCTAGAATTCTGAAATCTCGAGCCGTGGGCGCGATGTGCTCATGAGACACACATACAGGACTCTATCATGGGTTATTCACTTAACCTCACCCAGCAAATAAGGTAAATTTACATAACCCGCCTTCAGGTTTCTAAAGATTCGATAGCTAGTTCTCGCGATCTTGTAG